GTAGTTTCATTCGTCTGCTCACTTCTACTCTCCCATCTTGTTTTCTCTTGTAATTTTCTTCCATGAGACTTGCACCAAGCCCAGGTGTCTCCCTGGAGGTGTGTGACAGTGAGAGGAAACTTGGTGTTGGAGTACTAATCCCACCCCCACCAGTTCTCAGGTTTATGTTATTAGACTGTTTGTACCCCACCGGAATTCCCTTCCTCTGGCTGACGTGAACTTCCATCCTCTGATTAGACATCCTCTGCTCGGAGGGGCCTTCCCTGTGCCCACAGCCTGGATGAGAGGTCTCCCCTAGGCTCCCTGTACTATGGTTCTTCTCCATTCTGCAATAAGCATCTTGGTACCAAACCACCTGTACTCCACCCATGAAGCCCCAGTGCCTAGAATGCCTAATACATAATAAAAGTCCAAAACTATGTTGAATGAACAAATAAAGCAATGAATAAGGGTGACTTCATATGTCTGACTCTCCATTATAGAACCTGCCTATAGAAATGCTATGGCTACTAAATGAGGAATAAACTATTTAGAAAAGTAAGAAGAACCTGGACCAGGGAGGTCCTCAGAAAAATGTTAGTTTTCCTTCTGTGCCTTCCTATCAAAACAACCCCAAGGGACAACTATTCCTCAGTTAATAGAGGACAGAGCTGGGACCAAGGGGATGATACTGCATGAGATTTCATGAAGGCCTAGGTAAGGAGAGACGTTTAGGTAAAGTCGCCGGCACATGGAACTGATGGTCTCAGATACAGTAGGGAGCAGCCAGTAGAGCAGTGCCCGCTGGAGGCCTCCGAATCAGGGGCAGAGCCAAGCGAGATGACCTCTACGGTCCTGTGCTAAACATGGCCGTGTCTCCCTGACTGCTGACGTTTTGCATGGTCACCGAGGCCCAGAAAGGTTCGCCTACTACCACCCACAGGAACTGGGAGCTGGGCAGTTCCCATCTTGCTTTTAAGCCACTAGGGTGTCAGTAGGAAATCTTCCCTTTCTGACGGTTCACATTTCTGAGGCCCTGATTCTCAATCTCCTGCATGTTTATATCAGAGAGGCAATTGCCTGGCCATAAGTGAAGTCTGAGCGGTGAGGACAGGGGCTGTGTTTTTGATACAGGATTCAGTCTGTGATAAAACCACTTCTCCAGAAAAGGTTATGTTTATGGATCCTAGAGTGTGTCACTGTTTTAATGAGTGTGTATATATGTTGTTTTCACACACATCCTAAAGGCCCACGCTTCTTACTCCATACAGTGATTTGAAATGAGCTGGATGGAGCCTGACTCAAAATATCACCAGTTTACAGATTCATTCTTTGAGTTAAGGTATTTAATTGTGTTATTGAAATGCAAATTGCCCTGTAGAAGTCTATGCCTATAAATTTAAAATTCTTGATGAAATGAACAAATTACCAGAAGGGTGTAATTTTTCAAATTTACTTAAGAAGAGATTAAAAACCTGAGTAGATTAATTGCCATGAAAGAAATCAGAAAGCATTACCAAATAACTATCACCCCAAAAAAAGTCTGCACCCAAATGTTATTGCTGAGTTTTATTGGTTTCTTCCCAAACTTTTGGAAGATGAATAACTCCAGTGCTTAAATACTAGTCTAGAAAATGGAGTTTAAAAAGGAAATTGAGTTGATTCATGGTGAAGTTGGCATTATTGTGATAACAAAATCTCATAAAGATGGTTCCAAAAAAGAAACTTATGGATCTATTCTAAATAAAATACTAACAAACAAATCTCAGCAGAATTAAAAGTATAAACACTGTGTGATATATCTTCTTTTCAACAGGTCTAATTTTAAAAGCATTGATACATTATAGTTGATGCCAAAAAGCATTTGAAAATGTTAAATGCAAGTTCCCGAGTTTTTTCATTATTAATAACCAGATGCAGGAGGATACTTCATTAACATGAAAGAGTATCTCAAGCCAACAAGTAATATCACACTTAGTAGAGAAATAAGTCTAATAAAGTTAAGGAAAACATAACTATGCCTTTTCTTATCATGAGTTTGTTCTGGAAGTTCTAGTTTATGAAATAGGATATAAAACAGAAATGAAAGTCCAGTTATTACCTTTTAAGAAAAAAAGAAGATAATTCTCCCTTGACTACCCAATAAAATGAACTGAAAAATGTTTTCAATTAAGGGAATTTTAAAACTGGCAGTATAACTTTCTTATATAAGATTATTGCCAATTCAAAACTATGATAGGAAGTGGTTATACTCTCAATGGCAACAAACAGCAAAATACCTAGGAATAAACTTAACAAGAAATGTGGGAAACCTATTCATTATTCAACAAATACTATTTTCTATGTATCAGATTCTGTGTTAGGTTTCTGATAAATGTGAGTGAAGTGGACAGAGTGCCTGGTGTCACAGACCTACACAAATAAAACTGAGAAACTTCTGTGAGATATAAACGAAGACTTGAAAGCTTAGAACACCATACTTTTATACTGGATGGAAAGACTGACTGTTGGCAAGATATCATTCCTCCACAGATTACATCATAGGTTTAATGAAATCCCAATTTTTAAAAGATACAGTGGGATTACTTTTGAAAATTGGCAAAATGATTCTAAAATTTGGAAGAAGAAAACTTGAAAATAATAAAAAAATGTTTTAAACAAAGGCACTTATAGAGATGTTGCATTAGAAATCAAAATAAATGACACAGCTATAGTAATTAAAATAGTACAGTACTCTTGCAACTCAATAATAAAAGATAACTGAATTAAAAATGGGCAAAGGGTTTGAAGACATTTTCCCAAAGAAATATACAAATGGCCAATAAGCACATGAAAAGATGCTCAATATCATTAGCTCTAGGAAAAACACAAATCAAAATAACTTGGATTGCTAGAATTAAAAAAAAGATAATAATAAGTGTTGACAAGGATGTGGAGAAATTTGAACCCTCCAAACATTGCTGGTAGGGATGTAAAATGGTGCAGCTGTTTTGGAAAACAATCTGGAAATTCTTCAAAAGATTCAACATAAAGTTACTATATACCCAGCAATTCTACTCCTGGGTATTTACCCAGGAGAAATGAAAACATATGTTCACACACAAAAACTTGTATATGAATGTTCAGAGTAGCATTATTCATAATATCTGAAAAATGGAATCACCCCAAATGTCCACCAGATGATGAGTGGATCAATAATATGTGGTATATCCATACACTGGAATGTTATTCAGCCACTAAAAAGGAATAGCATACTCATGACTACAGGATGGTTGAACCTTGAAAACATTGTGCTAAGTGAAAGAAGCCAGCCATAAGAGACCACATAGATAGGGCATGACTCCATATATGAAATGTCCAAAATAGACAAATCCACTGATATAGAAAGTAGATAGGTGGTTGATTGCCTAGAACTTAGAGGATTAAGGTAAATAGGAAGTGACTACAAATGGGTGCAGGGCTTCTATTTGAGGTGATGAAAATGTTGATTGCGGTGATGGTTGTATAACTCCATGAAGTGACTAAAAAACCATTGACTTGTACATTTTTATGGGTAAACTGTATGGTATGCAAATTATATCTCAATAAAGCTTTTATTTTTAAAAAATAGTATGGTATTGGCACAAGAACAGAACATCACTACCTATAAAACAACCCCAGCACATTGAAGAACTTAATGTAGAATAAAGATAGTAACACAGTGGTGGAAAAATGGAACAAGAACAATTATTTACTTACCTGGAGAAAAAATATCAAATTAGATTATCATTTTATGTCACATATCAAAATCGACTTCATGTGGATCAAAATTTAATATAAAAAATTAGGCCATATTTTAAAGAAAGAAATATAGTATACTATTTTTTAATCTTGGAATGGGGAAAGACTTGCTTGCTTAAAACCAGCTCATAAATAGAAATGTCAACAGATTTAAGTTTATGAATTTAAAACAATCTTAATAAAATCATAAAGAAAATAAAAATATTATCAAAATTGGCAAATTTTGTTTCAGTGGATATTTAAATTACTAAAGGAGATACTTCATCCCCAAAAGTACATGGCAAAGTGTATGAATAGAAAATTTGCAAAAGAGGACATTTAAATGAAAATGAGATAGTATTTTTCAATCATCAAATTATTGAAAAATATATTTTAATCAGTAATTTCCCCCAATTGTTATTCAAGTATAATTAACATATTATTATTAGTTTCAGTTGTACAACATAGTGATTCAACATTTATATACATTATGAAATGCTCACCATGATAAGTATAGTTACTATTTGTTACCATACAAAGGTAGTACAATATTATTATTGGCTATATTCCCTATACCAGCTTGCTTTCTGTGTGTTTAAAAAAGAGAGTTAAAAAATCTGGTGTTAGAAGAATTCTCATTTTGCTATACCAGTATCATTATTGGGCATTAATTATAGCAAAAATGTCCTAATTTGCTCTGTTAAACCTTATTTAGCATTTATTTGATTATTTGTGAGTTTCAAGATTTTTATATATGAATGTTAGTCATTTTTCTCTTTTTTTTCTTTGAATTGTCTGTTCTAGACATTTATCAACTGATCTTTGTATGTTTATTACTCAGAAAAGATCCATATCAAATAGTACAGATGTCTTTTAGGTAGTGCAAGTAAATAATTTGTAATTAATTTGCTGTTGGAGATGTCCTGCTAAAGCATGCCCTAGAATCATTGTGATTTAATGCTAGTGACAAAACTGACAACTTTCTTGGAAATCCAATTAGCATGCTCAAAAGTGTTCATATCTTTGACCCAATAACTCTATATCCACCCTGAGGAATTGATTTGAAATGCAGACAAAGATTTATTGATGTGTATCTCATTAAGTTAGGACCCTTAACTTCTCATTTTTTCTGTAGGAATACTGGACACTCACGAAAATCAAAGCCTGTTGAAGCTTGGGCAGGCCCTGTTAGGGGTCAAGGTACAGAAATCAGGCCCCCTGCTCCTCTTACCTTCCCAGAGCCATCCTGCTCCCCAGGGAAAATGTCCGGGTGGAGCAACGGCAGCTCCAATGTGTCCTACACCAGCTTCCTCCTGGTGGGCTTCCCGGGGCTGCAGGAGTCCCGAGCCCTCCTGGTGCTGCCCTTCCTCAGCCTCTACCTGGTGATCGTCTCCACCAATGCCCTGGTCACCTACACGGTGGTGGCCCAGAGGAGCCTGCACCAGCCCATGTACCTGCTCATCGCCCTGCTCCTGGCTGTCAACATCTGCACTGCCACCACCGTGGTGCCCGCCATGCTGTTCAGCTTCTCCACCCACTTCAATCGCGTCTCCCTGCCTCGCTGTCTGGTCCACATGTTCTGCATCTACTTTCTCATTGCTTTTGACTGCAACATCCTCCTGGTCATGGCCCTGGACCGCTATGTTGCCATCTGCTATCCTCTCCACTACGCAGAAATAGTGACAGGCCACTTGCTGGCTGGCCTGGTGGGGGTGGCAGCTGTCAGGAGCACTTGCATTGTTGCTCCGGTGGTGGGGCTGGCCTCTCGGGTTAGCTTCTGCCGCTCGGACATCATCCATCATTTTGCTTGTGAGCACATGGCCTTGATGAAGCTGTCCTGTGGGGACATCTCCCTAAACAAGACTGTGGGGCTCACTGTCCGCGTTTTCAACAGAGTCCTAGACATGCTGCTACTTGGAACCTCCTACTCCCGCATTATCCATGCTGCCTTCCGGATTTCATCAGCTGGGGCCCGCTCAAAGGCCCTCAACACCTGTGGCTCCCACCTACTGGTCATCTTCACTGTTTATTCCTCCACCATGTCCTCGTCCATCGTTTACCGTGTGGCCCGCACTGCTTCCCAGGATGTGCACAACCTGCTCAGTGCCTTCTACCTGCTGCTCCCATGCCTGGTCAACCCCGTCATCTATGGGGCCAGGACCAAGGAAATCAGGCAGCACCTGGCAAGGTTGTTCTTGAGGGCAAGGCCATGAGACACCTCTAAAAAGCCCCCTGCACACCTATCTGGTTATCCCAGGCGAGACTGAGGAAAACAGGAAGTAGATACATAGGAACTCAATGTCCCCATCATACTGACTCTCTACCACACAAACTTCTCTTAGTTTTCTTCCCTAAAGTGGATTAACCAGAGTCTCACTCAGCCCTGCTCTTCCACCTAGCATCCTAACATCAGTCTTTGATCTTCTGTCAGTCCTCATTAAACATCAATAGATTCATAGCTACACAGCAAACAGTGTTAAAGCAACTGCAATTATAATTTTCTTAAATCTCTCTTACCTTAGCAATTCTTTTAAAGGATTACACAGAATGTAAATAAATCTGTATCTATTCTTTTAAAAATATCTACCACCACCCCACAGTGAAAGCTAATCACTTCTATATTTTGAAATCCACAGTGGATTTCTAGATTCAGGATTTCATTTAAAAATTTTTTCACCTCATTAAAGAGACTTAGATAGTAGCTGGTACCAAAACTTGCAAGAAAAAAAAAATCTCTTAGTAAATAAATTGATGAGAACTATGTTATTTAACTCAAAGAAGAATTAAAGGACAGGATATTCACAGAACAATCAAAAGGAACTCACTGATATCGCAGGCCTTAGTTCATGCTGAATCTCAGTCAATAGATTTGGCACACTGCCTATAAATCTAAATTTTTAACTATCTAGATGATTTCAAAGCAAAAGCACATAGGGACTTACTGACATTTAGTATTCAGGAGGAATAAAACTATTAAAAATTATTGTTGTTAGTCGAGGAGACAATGCATGTGTGGGGGCAAGGGAGTATATAGGAACTATTTTGCTCAATTTTGCTTTGAAACTAAAACTGCTGTAAAAATAAACAGTCAACTAGAAAAATAAAAATAAAGTCTATATTAAAAATACTACAAAAAAGTATTTTTTCTTAAACCTGAAAGAAAATTAGTCACATTAAGCAAGACTAAAAACAAGTTGCCTTGAAACACGAAGGCAAAACATTACAGCTTATAGTTTGTAGCTTTGAAATCTTAAATTGTACCTTCCATTAACCCGTTACATAATGTTAGAAATTTGTAATTGCTTAGTATTAATAAATAGTTATATGAATAAATAGCTGGCCTCCTTTCAATTACTTATGCTCGGAGACCAGCAAGTTGAGGGGCAGAAACAACCATAAAGCCCTACCATCATCCTGGTGGCAGCCGCAGGAACTGCAGGAGACAGCACAGCTTTATAAGGGCTAACTTGCAAAAAGTAAATTTAAGAAGTACTGGAAGAATTCTGCCAGGGTGAAAAGAAAAAATGCATTATAGAAATGGAAATTTCACACAGATGGTCATGACCTTTTCTGGAATATTAGAAAATAATTTTATTTTTAAAGGTAATAAAATACCAAAACCATTCAATTTTTCCAAGGAAATACAAAGATATCTCTAGAGAAGAAAGCTCAGGCCCGTGAGATCACCTCCACTATATCTATGACAAGCAAAGCACATTCTAGACACCATATAGCACTCAACTTTGAGTTAAGTTAATTGTCCAGCTTTTCAAGAAATTACAGTCTTAGAGGAAACGTTAAACAACAGAAGTAAGTATGTACATGGCAGGCATTCTGTGATAGGATTATGGATTGTACAGAGTTTGAGTAATGAAAGAAACTGGTACAGCTGGAGTTTAATGAGGTCCTATTTATAAAAACACAGACAGGGCTAAAGGAAGCCAATAAGGCATGGGGCCTTCCCTGGTGTATGTAACAGCAGAGAACCAAGAGCACCCCAAGACAGAAGGGACAAGTGAAGGGAATGGTTCTAGAAATCCAAAGAGAGAAATTGTAGAAGGCCACCCAACTAAGGCTTCAGCAAGGGAACATACCCAGAAAGGGAGCCAGGAAAATAACTTCCTGACAGAGAAGGAGCCAGGAGAATAATTTCCCCAATATTTCCTTATAATACAAAAGATAGGCAGGCTACTAATAAAAAAAGAAAATGAACGCACCTAGGCACACATAGAAACAATGGTCAACATCAATTATAACCAAATTCAGATATTCAGTGTCTACTCAGTGCCTTCCCAATCTTGGCTTCAATTTCCTGGGTAGCATCAGCCAAATTTCAGTGCAGCCCAAATGCAATGATTGCTTGACGTGGAGGGATGGAGGTTTTGTGCACATACCCTAGCCCAGGACAACTCTCCAAAGCCAGCCCAGCTCCAGAGCCCCCTGTAGGGTTGAGGCCATCACTGGAGCTGCATTACAGCCAACTTTCCTCTGTCCAATGCTGTTTCCTTCTCTTCCCTTCCACAGATGTTGATCCAAGGAGCACCCCCTAATAAAGCTCTTGTACTTTCATCTACATCTCAAGGCCTGCTTCCTGAGAAACCAACCTGCAACAATTGCATAAATAAATAAATATTTTTAACTGGTGTATGGAAAAGTACCTGGCATGGTATGGCAGCTATTAGCATCATGACTAAAACACAATACATGGAAAATGGTGCCAGAGAGCCAATCATATACCAGAACACAGAAGACCCTCTAAACCCTTCAAAGGAGTTGTCTACAATTCTGGAGAACACAGAAGTCCAAAAAGAGGATTTAAGCAAGTTATATACAATGCTTCATACTAACATGTAGGCAAAAGATAGACAGCCTGCTAATAAAAAAAGAAAATGAACACACCTAGACACACATAGAAACAATGGCCAACATCAGTTATAATCAAATTCAGATAGTCAATGAAATACCATTTTTCATATAACTAGTTAATAAAGACTCAAATTTAAAAATATATATATATTCAGTAGGTTCCCTTTCACTTTAGGCTGAGTTTGTGCTGGGGATGAGGGAACAAGAGAAAGAAGATGAACTAGAAGGCACTAAGCTGGACAGGCTAAAGAAGATGTGACCCAGAACAGGGCAGTCCTAGTGAGGTTGGAGAGGAGAGAACACCCAGCAGATATATTTACAAAGGAGGGCAGAGCAGGAGAAATAAAGGATCTCATCACCCTACTTTCAGGGCCACACAAGCAAACTCTCCAGTTTAAACCACCATGTGGGTGGTAATAGCATCACTGAGATAAGACATGGGATCACTACGGTAAAGAATATGAGAATGATGAGGGTGACAAAGCCATCTGATGAGGAAAGAATGGCCTTTCAACAAATGATACTGGGACAACTGGATATCCACATGCCAATGAATGAAGTTGGATCCCTTCCACACATCATATGCAAAAATTAACTCAAAATGTAATGTAAAAGCTAAAACTATGAAATTCTTAGGAGAAAATATAGGAAAAAATCTTCATAACTTTGAATTAGGTAATGGTTTCCTGCATATGATAGTAGCATCATAAGAGAAAAAAGACACAACAGATAAACTGGACTTCATCAAAAGTAAACACTTTTGTGCTGCAAAGGATACCAGCAAGAAAGTGAAAAGACAACACACAGAATGGGAGAAAATATTTGCAAATCATATCTGATAAAGGTCTAGTATCCAAAATATATAGAGAATATTTATGCCTTAACAATAAAAAGACAACCCAACTGAAAAATAGGCAAAGGATTTGAATAGACATTTATCCAAAGAAGATAAATAGCCAAAAAGTACATGAAAAAATATTCAATACCATTAATCATTAGGGAAGTACAAATCAAAATCACAAGAAGATACCACTTCAGATTCATCAGGATGCCTAAAATTTAAAGATAGACAATAACAAGTGTTAGCAAGGATATGAAAAAAAATGAAAACACTCATACATTGCTGATTGGGATATAAAATTTTGCAGCCACTTTGGAAAACAGTTTGGCAGTTCCTCAAAATAGAAAGTATGGAATTACCATATGACCCAGCAATTTCAGTACTAGGTACATACTCAGAACTAAAAATATATGTCCACACAAAACCTTGTACATGAATGTTCATAGTATTATTCATAATCACCATAAAGCAGAAACAACCCAAATGCCCATCAACATATGGATGGATGAATAAAATGTGCTGTATCTACACAATAGAAACTATTCGGTCATAAAAAGGAATAAAGCTCTGATACATGCTACAGCAAGAATGAACCTTGAAAACATCATGCTAAGTGATTGCATTCCATTGCTTGATTCCATCTATATGGCATGTCTGGAATAGGCAATTCCATGGAGACAGAAAGTAGATTCGTAGCTCTCAGGGGTTGGGGGTGAGCAGATTAAGGAATGACTACTAATGGGTTCAGGGTTTCTTTTTAGGAAGATGAAAATGTTCTGAAATAAGATAATGGTGATGGCTGCATGACTGTGTGGTTGTCCTTCATTGAATGTTTGTTGAGATCTGGCCAAGTCCAGCCTTCCTTTCAGCTCCTTCTGCTTCCCTGTGAAAGCCCCAGCCCTGGATCAAGGCTGCCTGCCCCAGCACTGGGTGCAGGGTCCTCACCTCATACTCTCCTCCCTTGCACCTCTGGGACAGCCTCAGACGTTCCGCAGGAAGGGTTGGCCATATGCAAGGTGCAGCTCTGCAATCAGCTCTTGGAGAGGAAGGAAATGGCAAAAAAAGAAGGGTTCTGTGGACCTGGGCAGGTGGAACAATGTTAAGAAAGAACAAAGAAATTGCTCATCCTCATTGTATTTCCATCCCCATACCATGAGAAAATACCTTGAAACCAGAAAAGGCAAAACAAACTGTGTAAGAGAAGTAAAGCCCATGTCCTATCATGGTAAGAGATTGTAAGAGAGTGTCTGGAAATGCTAATAAAATTCCAATCTCTTGCTTGGAAAGTAAATCCATGAGAAATATTTGGAAAAAAATCTGAGGTTTGACAAAATGGGAGGAAAAAGGTTAACATCAACTAGATTGTTGAAGTTGATCCCTTTGAAACATCTAAAATCAATTTTGTGTGAGCAGTGAAAAGAAAAAAGATGATCTCTGAGTATCACCCTAGCAGTTCCACTGTTATACACTTTCTCAGTCCAGAAGAACCTAACAAACTCTAATTCA